TAACAAAGAATTGAAAAGCTAAGTAGTAGGGAGAGAGAAATAATGCCCTAGAATTGAGAAGAATGCTTTTTCTTTGTTAAATTATGTTTGATTTCTCTAAATAATTTGGTATTTGTATGTTATAAAATTATGACTGTTATACAATCACATTACAGTAACATGTTTTCTTCTAGAGTAAACTTGTTATTTGAAAACCAACTAAATGAAATATATTTTAACTATATATTTATTTTATAGCGTTTGTTAACTTTATGTGGAATAATCTCTGTGTCTCTGTGGAATAAGCTTATGGTGACAATTGGTATTCCCTCAGTGCATCTAAGGCTACATATTTGTTTCACATTCTTTATGCAATTTATTTTTTTATCTGTGTGGCAGATTGTCATTGTCTGGGATTAACTGATTAAGCTTCTATAGTATTTCTACTACTGTGACCACAAACTGGTATTGAGATGTTAGCTTTCAGACAAGTTATTGTAGCTATACGTAAATGGAACTTGCCAGACCTATGTGTTTATTTGGATTTTACTTACTTTGCATTCTGTCCCAGATAACTAAGATTAGCTTAATAATTAATTAGGAGAAGTTGTATCATGAGTGAGTTTCTAAAACTTGTATTTGGTTTTATAAAATATTATTTTTTGTACCATGTATACATGGACTCTTGGGATTTTTCTGAAAGAATAGTCCAAACCACTCTTTAGTATTAACAAAGGAAATTTTCAATGGTATATAGTGTAGAGGACAGAGAAGCACAAAAAAGTCACTAAGATAAGTCAATTTGTGCCTTAACTTTTTAATGTATAAAATAGCAAGTGTTTGTATTACATCATTTTATTGCATATATATTATCTTTCATGTGATTATTGTGTAACAGAATTATGTAGTTAGGACTGAATTTCAGAAGTTATATTCCATCAAAGCCTTTTTAAATCTAAGATTAAATATTTCACAGAAACTAAAAGTATTGTATGTTAAGTCCAAAACCCTGGGTTTCACTAGAACTTTCTAAGCCTTACTTCCCTCCACAAGATTAGTAATTACATCATAGTTGTGAAAATTAAACAAACTCTTTGGAATATTTATAATGAACCCTAGACATGTAAATTATAGCCTTCTACTAGTTAAAACTTGTTTACCTTAACACATTTACTTAAACGTAAATGCTTATTTTATATTTATGATATACAAGTTTGGAGCTACTCAGCAGTTAACTAAATTCTTAACTCTTACTTTGTGTATACGTGAAATAATTATGAAATACTTTATTTTCAAAAGTTCCAATTGGCAACCTCATTTAACAGTTAGGCAAGTAATTAACAGGAAATTGCTTTGCTCACTGCTTGATGGTGTAGTTGTTATAAATAGTATCTTTTTCAATTATTTTTGACCTTGAAAATTACTCACATCCCTTTATTTGTAAGTAATTTATTTAACATGTTTAAATGTGTGTTTTATTTGTAAGAATAGGGGTTAATCATGTTAAGCTTTCAAATTTCTCCTACGTAAGATTACAACTAAAAAACAAAGCAGGAAAAGTCTTACCTTCAGCATTTATTGCACATATTCATATTATGAGTACATGCCAAAAAAAAATTGTCCATGTTCATTTTATAGTTAAGATTTTTAAATTTTCATCTTGTCAAATGAAAAATAATTAATAGAAAATTAGAAACTAGTGTAATTATTGTATTCTTCATAAATAATAGGCATTTGGTATAGCTCAGTAGTAAATTATTAAAAGAACAAAATTGTGAAATAATATCATATAATGGATCAAAATTATTTATACAGTTCCAGTATAAAGATCAAGCATGTGAGTTCTTATTAATATACCATTAGCCTGGTCACACAATGGAAGAGAAGGAAAGGGCAATTTTGAATGTCATTTACATCAACTTTGGAACTGTCAACCTCTATTATGTCCTTGGGGCCTTGCACTTTTTGGCTTTCAGATATCTGTGCTGCCTTGAATGGAGGTGAATACTAAGAGTTCCAGTGGGTCTCTTGCTCTAGTAAATGCTTTGAATAGTTATGTTTCAGCATGTGCATGTAATAGTTCTGAGTGCTAAAAGCTAAGACATATGACAGTTTATCCGATCAGCACCCACATCCACATCATCTTCATCAATACCACCATTCCACCCTCACTATACACTCACACTGTTTCCTCTATGTTCGTAAATATCTTCCCTATTCCAACTCTGGGAATACAGTCCTTTTCTTTTCTTTTCTTCTTTTCTTTTCTTTCTTCTTCTCTTCTTTTATTTTTGCTTTCTTTTTCTTTTCTTCACATCCAAGTAAAACAGCCACCTTTGACCCAAGCATCTCCCAAAACTTTTGCAAGAGTTATGATGATGTCAAAAGGAAGTTCTAAAGGCTGTCATGAAAAAAGTCAGTTGTTTCACCCAGAAGGCAGTAAAGAGGTACTATATTGCTAGGGGAAAACAGTGCCTGGAATATTTACAGCAGTGTAGTAAATAGTAAAGTTCTTGACAGGATATTGTGGCTTAACTGAACAAGAGTAGATCTGGATTCTAATTTTTACTGTCCCATGGACTCTCAGTAACGTTTTGTTTATTATGAATATGAATATTTCCATTTATTATTAGCATATATGTCCCACTCATATTTTAAAGACTGAGGTAATATTACATATTTTTAAATGTTATCTTCTTATACAGAAGAAGCTTTTAAAGGCTTTTGAAGTCTAATAAAACTTTTTCAATAATCTCCGTTTATATTGTTAATATATGAGGCAGTGGCTTTTATACTTGAATGTGTATCAGAATCACCTTGGAATGAATGCTTGTTAAACACAGGTTGCTGGGACCCGTCCCCATAGTTTTTGTGTTAGAGAATTTGCCTTTCTAACAAGTTCCCAGGTGTGCTTATGGTGCTAGTCTGTGAGCTGCATTTTGAGAAATATTCATCCATACAAGATTAAAATGCAAGGACATACTACTTCTGTGTTGCTGCCAATTTGGACATCATATATACAGATTACAGTTGAACAGGTCATGTTTCACATTGAACAATTTAGGGATAATATTGCCCCTATAAGTTTTTAAAATGCTAAAGTAAACTTCCCTAAATTATATGTTGACTCAATCATGGAATTATTTCACTTCCTGTCAGGATCCTATGAATCGATATAGATTTGGTATAATGGTCTTTATTAATTATCTGACATCATAAAAGATTGCTAATTTGAATTATCTCATGAATTTTCCATTTTTTTTCTGAAACAATATAAACAGAATGTATTACAAGAGTAGTTTTTTTTAACTAATCTGTTTATGGAATTCTTAAGTGCACATAGCCACAGAATGAAACAATAATCTAATAATATTAAACCACTTAAAAATATAAACTTGAGGCTGGGCACCATGGCTCATGCCTATAATCCCAGCACTTTGGGAAGCCAGACCAGATGAATCACTTGAGGTCAGGAGATCAAGACTAGCCTGGCCACCATGGTGAAACCCCGTCTCTACTAAAAATACAAAAATTAGTTGGACATGGTGGTGTACACCTGTAATCCCAGCTACTCAAGAGATTGAGGCAGAAGAATAACTTGAACTGGGAGGTGGAGGTTGCAGTGAGCTGAGACCATGCCACTGTACTCCAGCCTGGGCAAGAGAGCAAGACTCCATCTCAAATATATATATATATATATATATATATATATATGCACACACACACATACACACACACACACACACACACATATACTTGAAATATATGTCACATTTTACCACCTAACCATTTTGTAAAGTGATTTATTTCAACAGTTCTTTTCGTAAAACCGTGCATTAAATTTTTATACACAGCAATTAACATGTACACCTGACTACCCCATTTGATTAAAAATTTTTCTACTTTCAACAAATCATCCTGTTATTGGTAAATATTTTATGTTCTTAACTCATGAAATAGCTAAATGGAAACTAAATTTTTATTCTGCAATAATATTAATGTAAAATTGGATATATTGTAAACATCAGTATATGAACAAGTGGCATGATATTCCAATTTTTGAGCACAGGAAAGGAACAAAATAACTTTTTCAATTTTCAGTTTAAAAAGTGATACAATAATATTATCTCATTCTTATATTTTTATATGATATAATATAAATTTTAATGATATTATATCCACAAGTCTCCTGTATGAAGTTACCTAAGAGAAAGATATGAACTTGAGTATAAACTGTGTTTTGACCTGTTAAACCGTAGAACAGCTGGAAATCATCAAACATGCTAAATCGATCACATGATCTTCGTGACACAGATACTATGCTAAAAGAAAAATCTGGAAAACAAACCTGAATTTTGAAAACATGGTGTTTGTTAAGCGTTTAGAGTGGTATGACTTATAACTAAGTTGTACATATTAGGGTAATGTTAATTATGTTTATTTTCACTTTTACATCAAATTCAAAGGTGTTTCTGTGAAGCCTAGGGAGAAAGGGTTATTTTCTAAGAAAGAAATTTTCTTGTTTATGTGTTGAATTTGGAGAGTAGTTCTGATGAGAGGCACACAACTATCTGTGGTCCTCCATCATGGGTGTTCCAGGTGCTCTGCCTAGGCACGAGAGTTCAAAGATGCATTAGATCCTACCCCCTTTTCTTTGGAGATTTAAAAAAAAACCCTATCTAGATCATAACTTCAAATTTAACGTGTAATGTTTCTCGATACAAATGAATATAGTACAAAGAGTAGCCTTTTAAGAATATTTCTTACCGGTTACATAAATGGTCTGCTTTCTGTGGGTAGTTGAGTACACATGTACTTTATCTTATACAAAAGGTATTTTGAATGTGTATTTGAAAGAGACATTATGTTGACAGCCAACCAAATGCTGTAATATTCAGAATGAATGTGAAGAGCACTGATTGGTAATTTGATGGGAAATGACAGGCTGCATACCTGTGTTTTTCTAGGCATTTTTGATCAGCCTTTCCTTATCACAGCTCATGTTCTAATGATCATTGCAGGATGAAGTGGCACAGCCACTGAACCTATCAGCTAAACCCAAGACCTCTGATGGCAAATCACCCACATCACCCACCTCTCCCCATATGCCAGCTCTGAGAATAAACAGTGGGGCAGGCCCCCTCAAAGCCTCTGTCCCAGCAGCGTTAGCTAGTCCTTCAGCCAGAGTTAGCACAATAGGTAAGTTCTGTTTCTTTTGTTCTTGCTGATTTTCTGTTTATGGCTATTGAATGGAATCATCTTTAAATGGCACATCACATATACTCTCTACATGGCTTGAGTTCTGTAGGAAAGTTCCAATCTGAAGAACCATATAGGTCTGTTTTAAACATGCAAATGAAATTTCTCAATAAAGTCTAAGTTATAATGCCCTCCTGAAAATCTAATTGTGTAGGTTATATTTCTAACTATGTCCATACGGTTATAAAAAGAGGACTAAAGTACATTGCAGTGAGCAGTGATGGTTCCAGAATGTTATTGTTAGGTGACTTACCTTTTCCATCACTGAAATTTCCATTTTTTTGTGAATTGTACAAAGTATGCATTATGATGAAATACATTTTGCCTCTGTCATCAATCAACCATAAGAATGTTAGGTTTCTTCAGTTCCGTTCTGCTTGAGGATTATTTGCAAACACCAAAATACAAAGAGTGGATAGTTTCAATTCTACATAATTGTAAATTCAGTAAACAAAATAGTAGAAAACACTTCTATAAGCTGACTTTGAAAAATTCAATGATTTTAACTTTAGCATGCATAAATCAGACTGTGGATACTGATTTGAACCCAGATTTATTTATATTTTATTATTTTTATTCAATTTTTAAGGACGCCAGCATAGGTCAGCCTTCAAGGAGCTCATAGTTTAGCTAAGGGAAAGTCATTCCTTCTATGGTATAAGTCAGCTCTAATAAGTGCTATTGCAGAGCACAGATACAATTCTACAAAGATTGGAGGGTGTTGGATTCTGTCTGGGAAGGACCACAGAAGAGTATGAGTTAGATGTATCCTAATTCAAACAGCCTTGAAGAAGAGATAGATTCTAGGCATTCTAGACAGTAAGAAAAATCACAAAGTTAAATAGCATATTTTTGATAAATGCACTGATTTGTCTAGATTATATAAAAAATATGTAGTGGAAAGTGATCCAAGCTAAAACTGAAAGGATCAGATGGCAGAATGACACTGGAATTTAGGAAACCATTGTTTAGGTATAGGGCAAGAATAAGTTAGGTGAGATAGAAATAAGCAATGATAAAGGAGAGAATAGAGTAAAAAGATATTAAGTAAGGAAGAATTGACATAATTTATTCACAATAAAATATATCTGATAAAGGTTAAATTGTAGACAGAGGAAACTAGAATTTTGAATTTATGAAATAACAAGGATTGTTCCTCTATCAACTATGAAAGGGGAGCCCAGAATGGGAGCAGGTTTGTGTGAAGACATAAAAATTGGGCCGGGGCGCGGTGGCTCAAGCCTGTAATCCCAGCACTTTGGGAGGCCGAGGCGGGTGGATCACGAGGTCAAGAGATCGAGACCATCCTGGTCAACATGGTGAAACCCCGTCTCTACTAAAAATACAAAAAATTAGCTGGGCATGGTGGCACGTGCCTGTAATCCCAGCTACTCAGGAGGCTGAGGCAGGAGAATTGCCTGAACCCAGGAGACAGAGGTTGCGGTGAGCCGAGATCATGCCATTGCACTCCAGCCTGGGTAACGAGCAAAACTCCGTCTCAAAAAAAAAAAAAAAAAGAAGACATAAAAATTTAATATGTGTTGATTTGAAGCACAAAGAACTATTTAGGTAGAGATGTTCAGGAAGAAGCTAGAAATATAAGCCTCATAAGCAAAGAGGTGCTAGAATTTTAGATATGGAAATTATTCCTTAATGAGGTGGTTGAAGTCAGGACAGCAAATAAGTCCACCAAAAAAGGCTGTGTGTGGTAAGAAGTGGAGTGTAGAATCATAGGTATTATATTAGATACTAGTAAAGAATAACTAATATTTATGATACCTATGTACTGTATTAATATCAGAACATTGGTATTGTATTATTCATTGCTGTGTAACAAATTAACCTAAGACTTAGCAGCTTAAAACAACCAATATTTGTTGTCTCTTTTATTGTTATTTATTATTTAACATTTATTATTATCTGTTTTCTGGAGGTCTCAGTTCTTTGCCACATAGGCCTGTCCCTTGGGCTGCTTGTAGCATGACAGTGAACCTTCCTGAGTGAGTGATCCAAGGAAAGAGCAAAGGGAAAGGCACAGCGTCTTATATAAGCTGTTCTCCAAAGTCATTCAGAGGCAATTCTGCTTTATTCTGTTTCTTATAGGAGAATCATTAAGTCCAGCCCAACTCAAGGGAAGCAGAATTAGGCTCCAACTGAAGTAGAGAGTATAAAAGTATCATTGGACATATTGTAGAACGACTACACTTTTTTTAGATGCAAAGCTAATGAAGAGTAAGTTGAGTGTCTTAGAATGAAGAGCAAGTGGGTGTTTCAGAATAAGAGTCAAGATAGGGTAATGTCATGCTAGCCTAGGAAAATTAAGCTTCAAAAAAGAGGGATTATTTAATGGTACACCTTCTGCAGGAAAATTAAAGAACATGAAGTGTAAGAGCCTTAAGATTTTAACTGGACAGGTAGACTGACAGAGAAGTTTTAATAGAATGGTTTGAATAGATTTCCAATTATACAGAGTGGAAGAATAAGAGGAAAGAAAGTTAATTTGGTGATATAAATTCATCTTTTTCTAAGTTTGGTGTTATGAAGTGATAATAGTTTGAGAAGGCTAAGTAGAGACAGGTTTTAAAATAGGAATATGTATATTACTTTTCAAGGGGGAAGAGGAAGAAGAGTTAGAGACATGTCTAGATATGAAAAAGTACAAGAGTGACAAGCTAGCAAGGAGATGATGGGAAGGAATTAACCCTTGGAAAGGAGAAAAACTTTTCTTCTTCCTGAGACTGAAGGAAAGGAAGAGAAAAATGGTAAAATTTCAGAGAAATTTTGGAATGATGAGAATGAAGGCTGAAGGAGTGTGTATCAAATGCTTTAATCTCCACAAAGTAGAATTCCAGATTATTTGTTAAGAGAAATTCAGTCTAGGCATGGGTCCACAGTGAAAATGGAAGTTTTGAGAAGTTTGAAAAAGGTTTCAGACACATGTGTGCTTTTTCACCTTATAGCCTAACTCCAGCTACTCTGCTAAACATCCTAAGTGGGCTCCAAGATTAGATCTACTTTCATGTACTATGTAAAAGAAAAAATATTTTATTTGGCAAGAATCGTACACTATCATAATACACATGTAGGCTCATAAATGTCATAGTATTGGTACATGAACAACTTTTATGATGTTAGAACTAGAATATGTGACTAATAGAATAACTAATTTTTATTTTTATCATGTATGAATATTTTTTCTTTAGCATTCCCAAGGATTAAGTATGACAAATTATTTTAGAAAGGCAAGAACATACTTAATGTCATTTATCATGACTTTCCCCACTACTAAAACATCTTTTTTTTTTCCTGAAAAGTTCCTTTACCACATACACATCTCTCATAATTTCCAAGGATTTGAGGCCACTACAATTTACTTTTCTCTTTTCAACAAATGCAGATGTTGAAAGCTGAAACTTTAATGAGTAATAATGTAGTTGGATAAAAGCAGTGAGGATTAATGGTGTTGTAAAGGTCACTCCTGAAAGAAGAATTAATGTGTGATGCCATTAATAAACCACAGAAAACTGTGGACTGAAAGATGACTTAAGTTATTGTTAATGACATAGGGCTCTTTGCTATATATCTATTAGCTACACATATAGAAAGTGACTTTTTGAGGTTGGTGACCAATATTACAGTGTGTCCTGTAAGAATGCTTTTGATATGGTACGCAAATGATAGGCAGCTCCAAAGAAAGGAGATCCTTAAAAGCCGTGAATAGTTCAGAAGAATGACGGATAATTTTAGAATCTTTGACCAGATGTTATTTTTCCCTTATTGGCTTTTTCCACCTATATAAAACATATGTATAACACTTTTAACTTTTTTTGAAAGCATTTTTTTCATCTATTTTTTCACTGCAGCTGTTCTACGATTATAGACCCTTAACTAGATGGAGTAGATATCCATGTAATCTAGTCAAAGCTTGTTATTTAGCAGATATGGAACACAGACTTAAAGAGCCTATGTGTCCACACAGGGATTTGAAGTAATTTTTTGTCAGAGCATAGACAGTTCTGTGATTCTATGTTTATTACCTCAGCTTTTAATTTTAAGGAAATAAGTGTTCATAAAAATCTAGTAGCTTGTCTAGACTTACAGCCAATAGATTTTGGAGCCTTATACCCATAATCTATTGGTTAGCTTTTACTCTTTTTAGTTGATGCCTTTTGGTCGCCACTGCAATAGATGCTCTTCTCAGTCATTTATTGTTTCACTCATCCATACAAATGAGATTTAAATACCTTCTCTCTGCCATACATTTTGCTTAGAGGATAAGCAGACAATAGCCTTGGACTGAGGCTTTAGATGCCTACAGTCTTTTTGCCTAGCATATCTTTGAAACATATTGGAATGTACTGTTCTTAGCCTTCATTCCTCAAAGGCATTAACACATGAAAACTGAACAAATCGAGTAGATGCACATTGACCAAGTAAAACAAAGGGCGGTATTTCCAAGTCCATTAATTAGCTACTTTATATGTACAACATGCTAGTTTAAGGTATGATGACTTGAAGGAGGATATTATTTTGAAAGTTTTTTTTATTTTATTTTTATTTATTATTATTATTATTATTATTATTATTATTTGAGGCAGAATCTTACTCTATCTGCTGCCCAGGCTGGAGCGTGGTGGTACAATATTGGCTCACTGCAACCTCCACCACCTGGACTCAAATGATTCTCCCACCTCAGCCTCCCAAGTAGCTAGGACTACAGGCATGCACCACCAAAAATACAAAAGTATGAAAAATGTTTGCATTTTTCGTAGAGATGGGTTTTGCCATATTGTCCAGTCTTACCTTGAACTCCTGGACTCAAGGGATCTGCCCACCTCAGCCTCCCAAACTGCTGGGATTACAGGCATGAGTCACCATGCTCAGCTTGTTTTTACTAAGCAAAATGTATACAAGGGTTTTAATGAGAAAAACCTTGTTTG